CTGAAAGACAAAACAAAATATTAATTCAATTACCTCTTCTTCCTTTACATGATTTCTAGAGCTGTATCAATCTTCATCAATCAGGGGACCTTCCTGAACCAGCTCAATATTTAAGTGAAATCACTACTCTGAAACCACCATTACTCAGCCTTAACTAAACACTATAAACTGTATTCTTGAAAGGTAAACTTTTTTAAAGAAACACTAACAAGCTGGGTACAGTGTGTGAAGCTAAGTTTGAGCCCAGCCCTGGCAATTTAGCAACTTAGAAAAGCCCTGACTCAATAATTTTTTAAAGCTGGGGCGGAGGAGTATAGCTCAGTGTGAAGGTCCTGAGTTCAACACCCAATACTGGGGGGAAAACAAACCTAATAAATGTACTAACCTTTTCTGGCACAGAGGAGCCCATCAGTATAGAATAAAAATTAAAATTTCAAAGAAGTGAAATTATAAAAATATAAAATAAAATGCCAAAAATGTGTGATTTTCAGAACACAAGAGAATATCTGGGATCCTGTGTTAGTATCAACTTGTCTGTGTTATTTATGATAACTTATTGTTCTTGGCATACAATTTTCCTAGGAGACCAAATTAGGTTTTAATGAAAGCTTATATTAATCAAGAAAACACCCAAAATACTTGTTCATTGGCCTTCTTACGAAGACAGTAGATGTCTCCATTAGAACGAAGCTTTCAGGAGGGCAGGGATTATATCTATTTTGGTCTCCACTGTATATTCAGCCCTAAACCCAATGCCTAGCACAGACTTGCCTCAAAAGATACCTAATGTTAGCCAGGCATGGTGGTATATATCTGTAATCCCAGCACTCAGGAAACTGAGGCAGGAGGATCACCTAGAATGTGAGAGCCGCCTGGGCTACATAGCAAGTTCAAGGATGGCCTGAACTGAGTAGCAAGACCCTGTCTCAAAATAAATAAACAAAAATATAAAAACACCTGCTGCACATTTGAATGAGTGTTCAACTTTGTTAGGAGAGGTAAGATGTATAAAGATTTCCTGAAAGTAAATCAAATTTGTTTTCAAAAGTCCAGCATTAGACATGACTTACCAGAATATTTCACAATACACGTAGATAAAAGTCAGTCATGATTTTGCAAAAAGTAAAACCTGTTAGTGAAATCTGTAAACATTCAGTGCTGAGAGATGTCTTGATATGAAAATGATTTCACAAGAGCCACTAAGTTTATGCCAATATTTACTGGTACTTTTTTGAAGTCCAAATCACCCTCATTACAACTAACTGGACAGAGTGCCATTTCATTTGAGATATAAATGAACTACATGAATCAGCAATAAAGCAGAGAGTTCTCAACTGGTGTTAAAACATAAAAGTATTAAACAGTGTTCCATTGGCATGAGAAAACAATGTGCAGCTATCACATGAATTAACTTCAACATTTATTTGCTGTTAGAAAAGGATTAACATATATTTGTCAATCTTATAAGCTAGGCATCACCTCTTTGGATACATAAATAAATGAAAATTTTTATCATAAATGTATTTGGGGTAGTTCACTTAAAAGATCATGTAGGTTCCATAGGCTCCATAGGTTATTTTATAAGAGCAGTCTACCCTTATATTTTAGTTCCAAAGTTTTTAACACACCCTTTCAACTCCTCCTCCCTGGAGTCTGCTCGTGCCCAAGGCTGAAGATTCCAGCAAAACTGGCTCTAAAACCTCTTTAAGCCTTGGGCTTAAACTTCCTGCTTTTCTGTCATCAGCATGCACTCTAAATGAAGCAGTGTGCAAATATGTATTTGAATTAATTAAAACTATGTAACAGGAGATAACCTATCACACTAAGTTGCACTTCTGTCATATGTGTGCACACATGTTCTCATAATACGGAAAATTTTCAAAATACATTTTAGTGAAATGAAGAGTCTGATCCTAAAAGGCTAGAAACATCATTTTTTTCAACATCTCCATCAGCCAGCATCCTATTTCAGCACAGGCTTTCACTTCCTTGATGGTCACATTAAAAGTACAAATAAAAACAGTTCTGTAAGGCTGTTTATTAGACAAAATTAGCTCATACTTATTAAAAGTAAAAAGTTATTGGAGATTTTGGGGTGTAGCTTTAAACATTGTAAGCTTTTGGGGGAAAAGGCCATATAATTACTATTTCTAAAAGGCACCTATGTCTGATACCTATGAAGTGATATTATTAAAGACCATGAGGGGCTGGGAATTTAGCTCAATGGTTCCACCACCTGCCTAGCAAGCATAAGGACCTGAGTTCGATCCCTGGTACCAAAAAAAAAAAGACCATGAGGATGCCATCTTATACTAAATTTAGGAATCTTTAACGTGTGTGTGTGTGTGTGTGTGTGTGTGTGTGTGTGTGTATGGTTGTTTAATTTGTTTCAGTATTTTCACTGAGAAAATTAATTTCTTCCAAATGTTGCCATCATTTCAATCATTAATTTGCCACCTACAATAAAGTTTTCCTACATTGGACTAAATTCCACTACTCTATAACTCCCAATCATTTTTTCTAGCTGTACTTTAGAAAGAGCATAAAACAACTCTATCTGCTCCCTAAAATAAAGACTAAATAAAGACCATTCTAACCTCTATTCTTTCCTATTGTGGCCTAATTTTCAGTCTCATAAAATACCATTAATGATTAATGGAATTTTTCTGCCTTCCTTTGACCTTTTGAGCTTGTCTCAATATCTTATCTTGTAAACTGATTGATGTATTGCAGAAAATGTACTAGATGTGAAGGTTCTCAGACATGAGAGCTTTGTTGCAGGTGACCTTTGGTATTCTACTGACCCTTAGATTTTTAGGTCCTATGGCCTTGTCCTAATTTCTGGGAAATGTCAGATCCTGACACATATCTTTTCCACTTTCCATGGGACTGTGATGGTGAGTTGGCTCCACCTTACAGAATGGTGCTTTACAATATTGTCTCTCATTTCTAATTTTTTTCACACAAGAAATCCATTTTGTGTTGTCAATCTGAAAAACATAATAGAACTTCCTTTACAGTTCACTTTTATCATAAATCCACCAATCCTAAAAATAATTTTTGTACACAAAAAAAACTCCCCAATTGGTATCCAGCCATCATTATCTCCATTTCCAATCATGAAACAAGCGTATCTACCCAGCTGTGTTCAGTTGTCCCAGAACGGTAACTGGAAGAGCAGTCAGGACATCTCTGGGATAAAATACATGGCAGCAGTTTCCATCACAACCCTTAAGATGGCATCATCAATGTTTAAAGCCAAGAGCATACATTTCCAAAAGTACAAGTCCTTAGAAGACAGACTAGGCTATTCATATACTTCTTACAATTTTTCAAAAGATAAAGCATCCCAGGGTTAGGAGATTTCCCAGGCTTACCTGTGTAAATGATTAACCAGGACAGAACACTGACGAAGGGGGTCTCACAAGGAATGGAGAACCTGCCCCTGAGGGAACGGCTACTGCTTGCTTCTTGAATGGACTGAAATCCAGGTGTCATGATTTATCTGTTCACTCACAGGGAAAAAAAAGTCCTGTGATGTTTTTAACCCTGAAATAATAACCTCATTTTCGTCCTGAGATTGAATGGTTATGTTTAACACTTGACAATGTAAGTTTATTTAAAGTTGAAGACTGCTCCAGACCTGTGATGGGACATTTGCCTCTCTTTTTCTCCACCTACACCCTTCTCTTTTCTCCCACTCTGTGGGTTGCATGGAGAAAGGAGACCCTAGCAGGAGAGGCAGCGCCAGGAAAAACTAACCTAATGGGCAGCATGGTACACTACTTTCACATCTCTGTATTACATTACCATTACAGAGTAATGGTACTCTCTCTCTGTGGGTCACTTAGCCACTTCTCTCCTGACATCCCTAGAGATGTCTTACAGCCAGCTGGCCCCTTGCAACTCCTATAGGACCCTGATTTCCAAAGGGAACACCTCATTGCCTGCAGACCACTGCCCTCCATGTAGCTGTTTTTTAGGAGGTAGGAGGTAGGGGTACACCTTGCTCTCCTGATTAGTCTACTTCAGACCTGCAGGCCAATCAACCTTCCCTCACCCTTTAGTTTTCTGCAGACTGAAACAGACTCCTGTCCTAGTTCCCTCAAACCCCAAGGGTCAACTACCAAGGTTTCTGAGAAGTTTTCTTGAAGCTTGTTTAGCTACCTTTGAAGTGAAGTGAGAGAAGTCCTTTCCACCTTCCCCATATTTACCAAACCGAAAACTTCCTTCAAAAAATATTTTGCCTCACTCTTACTTTTTCCCAGCTGAGTTCCTAGCCTTCCCTTAAAGAGCCTGGAGGTGAATGGCAGTGTTTTCTCCCACGCATTTCCTTCATGGTTCTGCGTTAGTAGGGCTGCCCCCTCACCTTGGCATGGAAAGCATTCTCCATGTATTTTCTGTTCTGTTTTCTGTTTAATCCTTAAATGAAATTAAGACAACAAAAGGGAAAAGGAGAAAGAAGGGTGATAGAGAAAGAAGGGAGGGAAGAACAACCCATTCCATTTTGGCATTGTTATAAAGATGAGACCTAGAGGAAGTTTGTTTGTTTGTTTGTTTGTTTGAGAGAGAGTCTCACTATGTAGCTGAGACTAACCTGGAACTCATTATGTAGCCCAGGGTGGTTTCGAACTCACAGCAATCCTCCTGCCTCAGCCTCCTGAGTGCTGGGATTACAGGTGTGTGCTAACATGCCTGGCTGGGATTTTTTTTTTTAATTAATGGATTTGAATGCACTAGTTGATACACTAATTTGACTAATCTACTTTCAATATTAATTCACTCTTCCTTTTTCTGCTGCTCATTAAAATACAGAAGCACATTATAAAGTTGTTGCCAATTACATGAAAATAGCTAGAAAGGCCCCCAAATTACATTACATATAATATTCAGATAATGCTACTTTTACCATACATTGCATAGAAGATCACTTTACACAAGCACATTTTATGTAATAGAGATTAAAAGGGAAAAGATAAATTTCTATTTCTGTTTCCTAGGCCGAGATTATGAAAAGGATAAAGTCTGCAAGGAGCTTGCCCATCTGGGGAAGGATGACTTCAGAACGCTGTGAGTGTGCCGTGCCCTCTCAACTCTTTTACTTCAACCTGAGCAAAACTAAACACAGGCCAACCTGCACCCAACACAAAGGCAGAACTGTACCTGAGAAGATGAGGCGACAGAGCCCCAGGACCCGCACCAGCACAGCCCAGCAAAGGGGGACACCCAACATGCCAATGAGTCTATGACGACTAGGAAGTAATAATCTGGCACCAGTAAATTTATGAATGAATTTTAAAAGAGTGATTAAGGGACAGTTTTCCAAGGTAAATTAAGATATATTATTACATTACATTGCAAAACTCTAGTAACAAAGGTAATGAAGTACAAAACAGGACTGTTGCAGGAGGCTTGAAGCAGTTATTGGCTGGTTTATTAGAACAAAAGCTACTTTCAAAACTCAACCTCATTTTTAATTAGCCAAATAAAAGAGTAAATGTATGAAGTATCCCATTTAGAAAGTGACCACTTCTGGGCTTGGGATTTAGCTCAGTGTTTCTGGAGCCTGACTCACAAGCGCAAGGACCCGAGTTCAATCCCCAATACCAAACAACAACAACAACAACAAAAAACTAGAAATTGACCACTTCTCATACTTTAATATATACAAAGCTGTGAAAATTCAAATATGATGAATGTTATGATTATATTTTCTCCTTAGGTCACTAATTCTCTACAGCAGGAAGTTTTCCAGTGGCACCTTTGAGCAGGTCAGCCAGCTTGTGCAGGAAGTTGTCTCCTTGACAGAAGAGTGCTGTGCAGAGGGGGCTGACCCCGACTGCTATGACAACAGGGTGAGTGTGCTGACTGCTGTTCCTACACTGGCCCAGAGCCAGAAGGTAGGGTGGAGAGTTTGCTTCTGTGACTCATTCGTCACGTTGCTTTCCTTCCCTGGCAGAAAGGGTCTTCAGAAGTTTGATGTCACAAAGAAGACCAATATACAAAATAAGGACAAGGACATTAAATTACTTTTCACACATAAATGCCGTGTTACTTTTCTGATTGCTGAGACAAAAGAACTGGCACTCAAAGTTAAAGGAAAGGTTTATTTAGCTCACAGTTTGTAGGTTCTGTCCATAATCGTCTGGCTCCAAAGCAAGATGGCAGAGAGGTAACAGTCTTTCTGGCCCTTTTATCCTATTCAGACCATTTTGGGAGGGTAGCATGTATACCATTACTTCTAGTGTCCTCAGACCTAGCCCACCATGGATCAGTCACACACTCTGGATTCAGCCACTTCCAAAATAACTTGTGACCACATAACCAATGCCAAGATAAATTTCCCTGCTGACTATTTCTAATGGGTTTTTCTCTGTGATGTCAATTTCTTTTCTACAGTGTTATCTCAAGTTTTAATCTTTTTTCCAAAAAGAATGCTCCATTACTGCTGTCCCTCAGGGGATGCTTTGTGTACAGACCAGGGTGGAGGTGTTGAGGCAGGAAATCTGAGTACACTACTGGGCTTTATCCCAGGCCATTCTTGCAAGTACGTCTTCAAACTCTGGGAAAAACTGACTTCAATACCTTCATCTTTGACCTGAATCAAATTTCTGGTTAGGGAAACTTGGCATTTCTTATTTTTACATAGCCAGTGAATAATTGTGATGCAAAAGCATGCTCCAGAACAGTTAGGCAAAGAGTTGTAGAAGGTGAGAATAGTCAAGGGACAACAGTCTGCTCATTTGAACAAGGGAGAGGAAGGAGGCAGGCCCTCATCCCTGATGGAGTAACTGCAGCAAAAAGCAGTGGGGGCTGCCAAGGATGTAGCTTAGTGGTTCTGCTGTCCTCCTTGCAAGTGCAAGGTCCCAAGTTTGATCCCAGGGAACCAAAACAAAAAGCAGTGGGGGCTGTCATGGAAACCATAAGGGAGAGTTCCTGTCACCCTCAGAGAGCTGACGTCCCCATGGACAGACAGGTGTGAAGGGTTGCAGTCAAACATAGTCTATTTATTATAAAGGTTTTATTGTTTGTACACTCTGAGGGGAGTCCTTTCTTACCATAAATAAGACATTGCACTTGCCTCTAATATAATTGTGCAGCTTGTCATGTTCAAAAATCATCTCACAAAACTTGTACATGGTCACTTTGTTGCTAATGACAATTTTTAAATTACAGACTAACATGTTATACAAAAAGGTACATATAAGGCAAAACAAAAGACAGAAGTACAGAGTTAGGTCTTTCTTAGGGAGGAAGGGGAAGAGAAGATGAAGAGGAAGTGGACAGAGGGAGAGAAGAGAGCTGAAAAAGGAATTAAGGCATGTTATGTACATGTATCAACTTCACATAATGTAAACATTATGCACCTTCAACATGTACTAGTGACAAAAAGATATGCTGAATGCAAGGGTAGAAACATGCATATTCTGTGAGCGTAACCTTCTTTCTTTTCTTGTTGCAGACCTCAGCCTTGTCTGCCAAGTCCTGTGAAAGTGACTCTCCTTTCCCCGTACACGAAGGAACTCCCGAGTGCTGCACCAGACAGGGCCTGGAGAGGAAGCTCTGCATGGCCGCACTCAGTCACCAGGCTCAAGAATTCCCCACCTACGTGGAACCAACAAACGATGAGATCTGTGAGGCATTCCGGAAAGATCCGAGGGGGTTTGCTGACCTGTAAGCTGTTCTCATTACAAATGGAACGATGGGTTATAAAAAATCTGAGATGAATCTCATCTAACTCCTCACTCTAAGCAACACCTCTTCTACAGCAGTCTTCCCTAATAGGAACTGGGCTCTGACTTAGGACAGCCCCTTCCAGTCACAACTGACTACTGAGAATGCCGTTCTCAGCCAGGAACGAACTACACTAACCTCTAAGCCACTAGGCCCAGGCCTGTTTTCTGAAGCAGAAGCAGTTGCTTCTACCCTCCACGTGATCTGTATTCAAACATGTTAAGGCCCCACTGGGACTCCTCCATGCCGAGGATCCTTGTGGACTCCAAATGATAAAGCAGCTCTTGCCATGCATTTTTCTTTCGATAAAGCATAAGAAATGCAATTTTTTTCCTTCACTCCTATGTCTCTCCAGAACCACCTGTGAAAGTGACACAGGAACTACAAAAGCGAGGGTGTAACTTTGACCTTCTCATTATTTAATATGAATGTGGAGACAGATTAGACTCTGATTATGTTACTCAAGGAAAGTCTAAATATGGACAAAAATGAGGAAAAGTCAATGTATGATGGCATAGAAATAATATTTACATATACAGTTATAAAAAATCAAAAACAATGTCATTCAAATTGTCATCATTTCATAAAAGTTATAAATTGGCTTGTTCAGTCCTACATATCTTCATAGAGACTTCTCCCAAGGTTTCAAAAATCTCTAAGCTCCTAAAGACTTGCATTCTTAAAAATTAAAATGAGTAAATAAGTATATTAATGTGTAGTGGTTGTCCAGAATGATCACCTGAGATGCATACTGAAGAGTGAACCCACTAACTGCATTACTTGTAATTAATTCAACAAGCAGCTTAACAAGCACTGGCCATGGTGATCACTTGTCTAGATATCGAGTGAATAAAGGGAAAAATTACTCCTCCCTCCGGCCAATTACATGGGAATCAAAGAATCTATGCTAAATACATTGATTAAACATGACCAGTATTATAGTTATTTCTGTAAATCCCTAATGGTTTTTAGAGATTAAAACTATAAACTTGTATCATTTCTCCATCAAAATTATGAAGCATTAGACTTTGCTTTCTTACAAAGTTTTAATTGATCTTATTTTTCTCCCACAGATTTTTGTATGAATATTCCAGTAATTATGGACAAGTCCCACTGCCACTTCTAGTTGCTTACACCAAGAGTTATCTCTCTATGGTCGGGTCTTGCTGCACCTCCCCAGGTCCAACCAAATGCTTTTTGAAAGAAGTAGGTTCCATTTATTACATAGTTATGTTCTGTATTTTTTCCTCATGTGATCACATTCTTTTAAAGTAAGTAGACATTGAGATTTTGCAACTACTAAAAATTTCTAAAATGTTTCCATTAGCATTTTGTTAATGGGGAAATAAATATGCCACTTCTGGAAAGGAGATATCAGTAAGTCCTTTTTCTCAGTGCTCAGTTTTCTACTCATCAAGAAAGTACTGAAATTAATATCTGTTTTTGTTGTATGTGTACATTCTTTTCAGAGGGTCTTGGTCATGTGATGAGATTCTCTCTTATTATCTAGAGACTCAAGATTAGAAACTTGTCACTCCTCACCACTGTGTCAAATCAACTTTGTTCACAACATGCTGCTTATGGAAGGGAGAAATCAAGGCTCAGGTAAGGACTAAGCACAATCAGGTTTAAAAGTTTGGTTCTGCACATCTATGATATTAGGGTTTGCTAAAACAATATTTGTAAAAGACAACGTAGAACAGAACCTTCCACAGAGATGTCAAATATAGTGACATTTTCTCTAGTTCTTTTGTGTGCCTTTTACATTGAGACAGTGTATTTGGAAAGTAGAATTATGAACTTATAAGACCACCATATACAGCTCTTAATGAATCATTACTTTGTATTTGCATTAGTAACAAATAATTTACTCCAGAGAAATATCATCTTTTTCGAATGGGAAGGGGATCAAGAGATGGAGGGGGAAATGAGGAGGAAAAATAATGAAAAAAGAAATGTGTCATGCACATGCTCCAATTTCCCCCAAGGAATGTAAAAGTTATGTCCTGCAAACATGTACTGATAAAAAAAGAAGTATCACTTGGCCTGAACAAATGTTAAGCTACATAAGACTGCTGCCATATTTTTGATAAGAAAAAACTATAGATTTCCTAAATAGTCATAGGACAGAAAATGTTCCAGTTATAGCATATAAATATAAAAGAATATAACAGTTTGCCACAGTTATATTGTAAAAGTGTGCTTAACAAAAAGTACAAAGCATTAATCAAGGAAAGCAAAAAGAAAATACAGTAAATGGAAAAATATCTCATGCTCATGGTTTGGAAGACTTAATGTGATTAGAACATCCATATTGCTCAAAGCAATCTCCTGATTTAGAATCTGTCAAAAACATGTTTTGCAACACAGTGAATTTAGTGGAGTGGTGCTGCCACCTGCAGGAGCAAGGTCCTGAGTTCGATCCCTGGTACCAGATTAAACAAAAACAAAAACAAAAAAACACATGTCTTGCCAAAACAGAAAATATCTATGTTCGTTTTCTATTATTGAAACAAATACCTGAAATAATCAACTTATAAAGGCAACAGGCTTGCTCCGGTTACAGATGTAGAGTCTGTGATGGGCTGAGTGGGCCTGTGGTTGTGGGGCCCGGATGCCATAGCAAAATACAGGCAACACAGACTTCCACTTTACAGCCAGGAGATCCAACAGAAAGAGAGCTGGGGTTTCACTAACCTTGGAGGGTGTGTCCTCGATAACCTAGAGACCTCTCCCGAGGCCTCACCTCTTAGGGATTCCACCACCTCCCAATACCAGGACCTGGGGACATTGTGGATCCAAGCTACAGCACCATTTTAACATTAAAGGGGGCTCTCAAGAGATCCCAAAGGTGAAAGCAATTTTGAAAAAAAGTAGAAGTTGGGGGCTTCAAACATCTTTATAGCAAAACACACTATAAGATAACAACCCTCAAGATGTGTGATACTGATGTGAAGTCAAATAAATAGACCAAAGGGACAAAATAGCCCAGACATAAAATTTCTTCCTATACGAACAACAAGAGTGCCGAAACTACACATGAGAGTTTCTTCAACAAGTGAAGTTGAGGAAACTGGATATCAACAGGCAAAAGAATGAAGTTGGACCTTTGCATTACACCATGTACTAAAGTGAACTCAAAAAGGGATAAAAGACCTAAATATAAGACATAAAACTAGAGGAAAACATAGGGGGAAAGTTTTCAGGGTACTGGATCTGGCAGTGACTCCTTAGATGTGACTCCAAAATGTGGTCAAGAAAAGCAAGGGAAATGGAACCACGTCAAACACTAACACTTCTGTTTAAAGGAAATAATCACAGAGAGAAAAAGCAACCCAAGGGGTGATTGAAATGCACAGTGAATGTTAAAATTTTTAAAAAAGTCATTACAGTGAAAGATGCATTGCTGTTCATCCCGGTCTTGGACTACACCTATCCCATTGCTCTTGCCACTTTCAGAAGTAGTCCCGGAAGTCTTCTTTCACGAATGTCTTTATAAGATTTAATCAAGGCAGTGAATGCTGCCACTGAGTGCCGTCTAATGAAAGGCAGGCTTGTACAAACAGAACTCTGTGTCTCATGCACCTTATTCACTGCATCATAGTACCATGCGATGTCTGGCTCTTCCCAAAGGCAAAATGACCATGAAAGCTCTGTGTTGTAAAGTGATCCAGGCACTGAGGCAGCACAACTAAAGACACAAAAGCAAGCTTCCAGATCTGTTTCAGAAGGTGGGAAGAATGATGAGCTGTGCATGTTTCAAGTGAGGGGATGCCAATATGCCTTTTATTGTAATAATTATGTAAAATTTAAAACCTTCATCATATGTTTTGATCACCTCATTATTTACACTCCCGTGTTCATTGTAGCATTACTCACAATAGCCAACAGGTGGAAGAAAAACTAATGTATTTCGACAGATGAAATGATAAAGAAATTGTACATACGCACAGTAGAATATTTTGTAGTCTTCAAACAGATAATGCTGTCACGTGCTACAACACAGGTAAACCTGGAGAATATGATGCTAAGTGAAATCAGCCAGGTAACAAAGTACGGATACTGTACAATTCCACTCATAGAAAGTATCTAGATTAGTTAAAATTATAAAAACAAAGTAGATAGCTCATTGCCAGAAACTAGGGACTGGAGCAGAGGAATCAGTGTTTAGTTCAAAGGCAAGACCAGTTTTGCGAGCCAAAACTGTTGAAGAGGTCCATTGCATGGCAACTTCAACACACATAACACTGTGGGGCTTTATACATTAAAATTGGAGAGGAGTGTAAGTTTAAGGTTGTACTTTTACCACGATTCTTAAAAAAGAATGTTTAATGATATCCTGACATATTGAGAATATTAATGTAGAAAAGAATATTTTATGATATTCCTGATATAGTGAGTATATAAAAGCAGATATGAGAACAGCACAGCATAATTCCATTTACACATACAAATCTTGAAAGAATTTTATAACATTGACATTTATCAACTCTGTAGTGTAGGACTATAGATTTTTTTTATTCATTAAGTTTTTTGGTACATTTTAGGTATACAATATGATGACATTCATCACTGGGAATTTGTACCATTACATGATATATCTTGGGTCTTATTTTTTCCCCATTCCCCTGACCTCCCTGCAACTCCTCCATCCATCCCTATTTACAAAGACTTCTTTTCTGTTTTTCCCTTTTCTCCTATTTATTCCTTTCTCTTCTTCCCTTTCCTCTGCACTTCCCACTTCCCCTTCCCCTTTGGACCTTTTCTTCCTATTTCACAATTTGATCCTAATTTGCACTTTCAGTTTCTCACACCAGAGAAACTATTCAGTATTTACACATGTGTCCTATTTATTTCCCTTAAGAGTATGGCCTCCATGTGCATCCATTCAGCTATAATTGTCTCTAACTTGTCATTCTTTATGGCTGAGTATTACTCCATTAAAAAAATAATTGTATTAATTCTTTTAGCTACAGTTTTTAAGTGAATTTATAGACAACAAGAGGCCACAAAAATGCAAGGATAAGAAGACATGGCTGCTTTCTTTTTTTTCCCCTCCACAATTGTTTACTTTTTCTCCATTTTGTATTTTTCAGGTTTACAGTACCCGGTGTTTACAGTCTCTGTGTGGAGCTAGTGGATGTGCACAGCACATCTCAATTCTCTCTTCACTCCCTTCCCTCACCCTCCATCTCACGACTCCCTTTCCATTTGAGAAAGATCTATCTCCCTATTTTCCAATTATCCGTTATTGCTGCTTTGAATTCAATATTTTAAAGGTATGCTTCAACTGTGTAGATCTTACCAGACGAGAAGCTGCATTTGAGCTCTGAAAACATGCAAATATTCATTTGGATGATTTAATTTTGAGTATGTGGTTTTGGTACACAGAATCTATCACACTGCAGTTGTGCTCCATGCTTTGAAACTAAACCATTCATGTAGGTAGTGTGTTGATGAGACCAAGGAAACTGAGAATGTGGGTATGCTAACAAACTTATTTTTAACTCATTAGCCATCTCATAAAATTAGCCCAAAAAGTGCCTACTGTTGATCTGAAGGACGTTTTGCCACTAGCTGAAAATATCACTGTAATGCTCTCCAAATGCTGTGAGTCCACCTCTGAGGATTGCTTGGCCAAAGAGGTACAGTGACCGCCATTCACATCATTGGGCGCAGCGCTGGGTACACATTCCAACTGGCACACACTCTTCTGAGGTGCTTTTCCAATGCATTATCTTCCTACTTCTGTAAAGACAGATTAACAAGATTCCAAAATTGAAATCTCTGCAACTTTTAAGTGTCATAATCAACATACAAGGACAAGATTAACTGACTCCCAAACTCTTACTTCTATCCATTGGCCACCTATGATTATTTAATAATTCAAACTGAATATATATGTGTGTGTGTGTGTGTGTGTGTGTATGTGTGTGTGTGTATTGAATATAATTTGAAATTCAGTTCTTCATTCACACTAGCCACATTTCAAATGCATAATAGTACTGGATAGTGCAGAAATAGATCATTTTCATTACTACATAAAGCCCTACTAGCATTGAGTACTATTAGAGTCTACTAATGTTTTATCATACTTTTTATAATTTAATAGGCAGCTCATATGTTTTCACAATCTTTAATTTGTATAATTTTCTCAAGCAGATACCAATTGAACTAACCATGTTAGATGAAGATCAGTCTTCAAAGTCTTGTTCAGCTCCTTCAGTAATAGATATATTGTGTTACCTGGTCTTTTCCTATCAAAAATGAGTGACCATATTAATGGATTGTTTTACCGTGATGCACAAGGCTAACTAGGACTCTGCTGCATGTATCTGTTACATGTGTCTCACCTATGCCTCTCGATACTCCATCTTTTTATTTAAATAAGAACATTCACACTGGCTTTTATAATATGCTTCTAGGACTTATTAGATTAAATTTTATTTTTAATAAGGCCATCGAGAAAACTAACAATGCACACTTTCATCATTCCACTGGTAGCTGCCTGAATACACGACAAAAGTCTGTAACAACTTAAGCAAGAAGAATTCTAAGTTTGAAGACTGCTGTCGAGAAAAAAAAGACTTGCGCACTTTTAAATGCTTGTACTTCATGCCAGCCGCCCTCCCACTGAAGCTGCCAGCCTTCAAGTTGCCCACAAACACAGAAGTGTGTGACCGAAGGAACACAAAGGCCTTGGATCAGTAAGTAGGGGGCTCTGGAAGGTGCTTCCGCTCTGCTTTACCCAGACAAAGCCGGGAGGAGGGAAGGTAGGCTGTCACTCACTTCAAACAGGCGAAGTTCTTTGCTTGTTTTTTTTTTGGGGGGGGGTACCAGGGATTGAACTCGGGTCCTTGCGCTTGCAAGGCAGACCACCGAACCGCTGAGCTAAATTCCCAGCCCTGTTTTGTTTTAAAGGACTTGAAGAATTTGTTAATTGATTAGCAGTTTGCTCAAATTTTAAAAACTGAATAATTCATTTTAAATGAAGAGCAACTGATTTTAATAGAAAGATTTTTATATGGAGAAACAAGTTTGGAATTCCAGATTCTGCCTATTGCTCAGATTAATATGCATCCATGACAAAAGAAGTGACTCGATCTTTCTAAACTCGAATCTCTTCTGACATAGCCTGAAAATAATAATCGCCTGAGTGCACAGGTCGCTAATAAGAAATGCATGTAGACAGGCAAGTGAAAGTAAATGTGAGATTTTTATACAGTAAGATTCCCCACTCACATAAAATATAGTAAGACAAGGATTTTATCACATATTAACTAGTTTTATCATATTACTTGTAATTTACTACCACTAAATGTAAAAAATTTAATTGTGAAGAAGTGATAAAACTTTATCTTGTTTTACCTAACTATAAAAAGAACTATAACAAAAATATGCCACGGGTGGCCTATACGATGAAGATATGCACACTAATAACATAAAAATAGTTCATGAGCAGATTGGCAAAACACTTCATGGTATCAATTCCCAATATCAGACAGCAGAATTTAGATAGGACTGGCACTTTATATTTTTCTTATAAATACTATTTTATGCATGCATAGAAAACAGTAAGATCAGATTAATAGAAGAATTTACACAAACCTCTTTTTACACAAAAGTTACGGTACCCACTCGATGTTACCTATAGGGTCAATTGTATTACAAAGGACAATTCTTTAGGAGTTTGAAGATGTGTTTATGTATATATGATATATATTTAGATATTATATATAAATCAGATTATATATTGTTATTATGTAGTATATAAATATATTATTCACTTCAAAGTAAGTATTAATAATATATTTTAATGAAATTATATAATCTAAAACCTGTTGACATTGAGTCAATTTGGGCTAAATCTCTTCATTAAAATGCATAAGCACTCTTCCTTTGTCACAGGTCTATCCTGTTTCAAACATGAACACACTCATGTCTGCCTTCTTTTCTCTCTCATGCCAGGTATACATTTGAACTGAGTCGAAGGACTCCTGTTCCAGAAGTATTCCTCAGCAAAATACTGGAGACCACCCTGAGAAGCTTTAATGAATGCTGTGAATCTGAAGACTCTGCTGCCTGCTTTACTGATAAGGTATGCTCAGGAATTTCTTTATCAACATGTAGGTCAAGGGTTAGTAAACTGTAGCTCATGGGTAACTGCCTACTTGTGTATGGCCTGCAGGATCAGAACAGAAAAAATCACTTTACATGTCTTAAGTGTTGAAAAAAATTATCAAAAATAGATGACTAATTCATAGTGCATGTCAAATTTCAGTGTTTATTATGAAATTTCATAAGAACACAGCAGTCCTTATTGTTTACATATTTTTCAGGACTACTTCTGTCGAGAGGGGAAGAGTTATAATGGAAAATTCATATGACCTGAAAAGCCTAAAACATTTACTTACTATTTGGCCTTCTACAGAAAATGCTTACCAATACCTGGTGTGGATAAGATATGGGATTCTGATTTAGTAGTCTCATGGGACAATGTTTCAAGACAAAGGATTTGTTATAGTATTATTATTTTTTTTTAAACAGGGTTCTCAGATGAAGAAGGAATTATCTTCTTTTGTTGAGAAGGGACAAGAAGTATGTGCAGATTATTCAGAAAACACATTTACTGAATACAAGAAAAAGTAAGAGGCTTCTTCTGGTTGCAGTCTCCAAATGCATCAGTGATATTTGCCTAGTAACATGCTATGATTCTAACAGTAATTAAAAGTTTAGGATATGCTAAGTGAACAAAAAAATGAAGAGGGACAATTAAAGAGCTTTTAAAAGTAGAACCTAACATCAGTATACGAAGGTACTTGATTCTTGGGAAAATTCCTCCTTTGAAAAGACCAGGTCATTCTCTACTTTATTTAATAACTATCCCAGATGCCTTTCAAATCATTTTGAACCAGAATTCCAAGTGAGCACAAATAGAACTTCCAAAAATATCTCCCTAAAGAATTCTAAAAGCTTGAAATCTTCAATGATCTCCATGAACTGTGCCTTAGCAAAGCTAAGAGAAAAGAAAATCTATAAGAGCCTTAATTTTGAAATGGTGATTTTTTTTTTCAATTATTAGAAAAGTGTTTAATGGCAGGGACAAGGGAAAAAAATGAGAAGCAAGACCTGTCATGTAAAGGTACATAATCCCAATAATGAATGTAACTGTACTGTATACCTAAAATGTACTAATAAACTCAATAAAAAAGTGTTTAATGGTATAATCTCAAAAGAACATTATGGAGGCAGGATAGATAACATCAAATAGATAAGTGAAACTGCTAACAGTTTTGAATTCCAAGGTTGCATACAGCTAACTGAGAAATCATTTTATATTCCCAATTCCAGATGAACACAGAGTAGACTTGACATTTGGGCTAGGCAATTAGAGTAGACTGAGACTACTGACTTTAAGTATCTGAAATTCCCTGCTCCCACCATTTATTTTTCCCATCTTCTACATTCTTGCTGGTCAGCCTTGCCTCCCATCCCAGATACCTGCTTGTTTCAATAAGGCTTTTGTGGACAAACTACACTCTTCTTTCTCCTCTACCGCTCATTGGTCATTTCTAGGCCAGCAGGAATATCTTGCAGAAGGTCACAAAACCAGGGACCCCAAAATTGCAGATTGTTCAATGAAAGAGTCAAGGGCTAACAAGTCTATCACTATCTTGAATGTGAGGCAGCAAAGAGCAGCTAAAAACAAGAGCCAAAACACCTGACTCTCATTTTGGTGCTTTCTAGCACAGGGAGTCTGGAAGAGGAAAACTGAGGGGGGATATACAGGAGGAAGGAAACACATACAGGCATAGGAGGTCTTGTAAATGGAATATTCTTTAAGGTGCTTAACGCTTAAATTGGAGACAATTTAAGTGAAAGGACAGAGGAAATAGAAGAGAAAATCATTCATGTTGAAATAGTGGCCAAATGAAAGGGGTAAGATTGGAGAACAGTTTCAGCAGCAATTTATGTGTTTACTGTCATGGTTATGAAGGAGGCATAAATTTTTCTTTCTAATCTCAAATGTCACCAAAATTCATTCCACGATTACAGAAAAGATAAAATGTTTTGATTCTGTATTTGTATTTCTATTTTTTTACTTTGCAAGATCTGTCCTTTTGCCTTAAAAATGTTTATTAAATGCATCTAGTAAAACATTACATTAAAATGGTGTTTTTAGACTATCAGAGAGACTAAGAACAAAACTGCCTGATGCCACCCCCACTGAGCTGGCAAGCCTGGTGGACAAGCACTCAAACTTGGCCTCCAAGTGCTGTTCCATAAATTCACCACCTCGCTACTGTGACGCACAGGTAGGAAAGCATAACCCTGTACTTATTGCTTCAGAAGACTGAAAGAATTTGTGCATGCTGATTTACTTAGTTCTGTCTTGTTACTAAAATGTTATCATAGGGGTGCTGTTATAAATTTGGTGTCTTACCAATGAGAGTAAGAAAAAACTGTTTCTCTATTATGTTCATTTGAAAGCAAACTTTTGAAGGTAGTTACAATCTGAGGAAATTTTATGTTTTAAGAAGCTAAAAGGTTTACAAACACAGCAAAGTGTAGGGTTTTCAGGCTACTGGTAACAACTTCTAAAAAGTGAAAGAAGAGAAGAATGTGGTACAAGTGTCAGTCTCTACATATGCTTGTGTGTGTAGGTTGTGTGTGTGTGTGTGTGTGTGTGTAGTAGTAGTAGTAGTTATATACACATGCATGCATAAGGGCAGATAAATTCATAAAAAAATATACTTTTAGAAAATGGAATCATGCCTTCTATTCTATCAAAATATTAAATTTAACTTTGTTTTAAATAACACCAGAAAAATAAATGTATCAAGAATTTCTAAAGGTCACAAGAATGTTTCTTTACCATAAGAGTAATTTTCTGAATTAGAGGATTTACTATTAAATGTTAGCCATTTTTAATCATGAATATTTCTTTCAGACACTGTCAGTTGGCTCTCAATTCTAAAAGAAAAAGAAATGAGAACTCATATATGAATCTTTCAACTTCCTTCCCCACTCTTCTCAATTTTTGTTAATTCTCTGCATCATCTCCTCTCTTATCCTCCTCCCTTTTCTTTCTCATTCCTCTTCTTCTGTCCTTCCTCCTTCTCTCTTTCTTAAATATATTTGCATAGTTATCTCATCATGTGTTTTTTTTACCCTGTATAAATACAAGCTTTTCTGTAATAATAGATAAATTGGTGTCTCCCTGTTCATGGTATCTGAGGTTTTTTGGTTCTCTCCTATAAACTAGTGTGAGGCCAGAACTTTGTGTCCTCTCTATCTCTTTATGGACTGCTGGATAACAGAGACCTGGACAGGCTGTGTGGACCATTGTTACCAGTCCTTGGCTCTCTTTGATTCCTGAGATTTGTCAGTGTCTTACACTGTACTCTCTCACCAAGTCAGTTACCAACCTTGTTCTGTAGAAGAATGTTTTGTATTCCTTTTTCAGAAATAGTCCATTTGTACACATTTTGCATTTTAACTATTACCCTCTGAATTACTTATATTATTTAGAAGAGCCTAAAGCTAAGGGCAACACTGTATTTCATTTTACCACATTGGAGGTAATAGTGATAATTCTAAGAACTTTGTGGTCTTATCCACTCCATTTATGGAATATAGAGGCACTATTAAAAACAACTCTATATCATGCTACAATGCCCCCCCCATTTGACTCTGAAACTTATATTAAGTTGTATCCCTTTCCTACTCTGGTGGTTGCAGTTTAGGTGTTTTTGGACAGATTGAATTATTTTTTTCTTTTGTTTTTACTTTATGAAAAAATAAAACAAATTTTCATAACCAAATAGTAAGAGAATAACAAACTGTGTCGCATTATCTTCAAAGCAGTTACTCAGTATGAGACATAAACCACTGCTACACATCTTAATTGTCCTGTGTTGGGAAGGACCACTTATGTTTTAAGTTACTTTTTTTTCTTGCTGAGACAAAATACCTGATACTCAAAGTTTAAAAAGGAAAGGTCTATTTGGTTCACAGCTTGTAGAGATTTCAGTCCATGGTTGGCTGGCTCCAAGGCAGGGTGGCATGACAGAGGGGCAATACATAGGGGAAACAGTTCTTGGTAGGTAGAAGGAAGCAAAGCAGCAAGTGGCAAGCAATGACAGCAGTCCTCTTTCTCTCCCTTATAGTTTACCAAGGCTACACACCCTTAGGGCAGGTAGCACCCACACCCTGGGTGGGCCTCCCCATTATCTACTCCCAGAACTATACCAAATCAATCAGTAGACTCATTTGGCAAACCCCAGCATCACATAGTCTAGACCCAGCCACCACGAAGAAGCCCTACCTATGAGGCTTTGGGAGGACATGTAAATATAAGCCATAAGAGTTTATGATATTTTAACATATTAGTTTTGTTTGTCTTTATAGGAAAATAACTATGCTGTGATCAATGGCTCTTGATTAGATTTGTGACTTAATGCTAATCATAAGTCATTTTCTATAAATGAAAGAATTTAAGAATGAATTTGAATTTCTGTTTATTCATTAAAGTATGAAGAAACAAAAGTTGGCTTCTTTTATAGTATATTTGAAAATATCCAAGAAATCAATATAAGAGAATCACAAAAGTAAAAATACTGGAAGAAAATTACTAAGATTACTGAGTGTAATTTCTCACCCAGTTAGTTCCTTGCAGAAACCATGCAGTCCTCATTTAAATGGCTGTAGTCAATGTATTTTTTTTCCTGCCTTAGAAATGGCCTATTTCACTGCAGGTAGCTCCACTTATGAGAACAGTCTTCTACAAATTAATCATGAGAGTCCACTCATAATTTCTATTGAACCTACTCTGGATTTCTCTAAACTGGGAAATCACTTTTCTGTTCTCAGTAACAACTCTGTTACACTTGAAGTGGCTTTTTAAAAATCTTACACTATAAATATCAATTCCCTTGATATTTTAGTGGTTTTGTTTTGTTTTATATTGTATTGTACCTGATAAACAGTTTGTAATCTGTTTGACAAATGCAGCTACATGGTGTTCATTCTTTTCTTTTTAACTTTCCTGGGGGATTACCTTAGGGATAATTTCTCTCCTGATTTTTACACATACACTCTATTCTCAAACCTATTTGCTAATATTCTTTGTGATAATTTATAGTCAGAATTTCAAATGGATAGTAAAAAATCTGCTGCTTAAATTCTTCTGACAAAAAAATGACATCTTTATCTTCCATTAAAATTTAGTAAACACAAAATTTGAATATAAACAGTACAAAAGTTGAATCATCAGGTCATTTCTACCACTATGGACATTTAAATATTTAGAATAAAGTGATTAAATTGATCAGTTTCTTCCTTTCGTACTATTTTGCTTTTGATGACCTAAATTTAGGTCACTTGCTATTAGAAGAATTTTCCTTCTACAATGTTTTTATCAGTATATGTCTGTGGCAAACAATGATTGCCTTCAGCATGGGTGTCTGATACAAATACATGTCACATCGTGATCATTTGTACCTCCCCTGTGCTCCTGTGCTCCCCCACTTCCTTCCCTCTCCTTTCCCAGAACCCTTGTCCATCTCTACAGAGTCTACCTCCCTGTTTCTTAACACAGCTCTTTGATTCTTGGCCATTTAAAAAGAGAGCAAAATAAAATGAAGCATGCTTCTAGATGCTGCACAGAACCTCACTGTGAAAACCTCCCTGTCCTTTGCTCTCTGCTTTCCAGATGCATGCTTTCCTCTTGACATCACAGAAGACAAACTCACTTTGGAAATGAAATGTATGCTTCCCCAAGCCCCTTGTCTTTCACATCTTTGACTTGCTTTCCAGTGCATTTTCCATTATAACATCCTATCATGCTAAAACACTTTTAGTGTCAAATGCAATGATGAAGTAACAGATTTCTGTTTTCTTGCTTTTTCGCCAGCATCTTATACTAGCAGCTCAGTGGTACATCATTCAGTATTTGCTAAGGAAGAGGGAGACGAATGGAGTTGTTGAGAGTTGTGTACACAGCTGATGATTTAGAGCTCCAAGATGTTTGACTCAGTGCTGTCCCTGTGGCATGTCCAGCTGCCCTGCTAATGCCATCTCACAGATAAATAAGCAAGCTCACTGCCTTTCTGACTGCACATCAAGGGATGCCCAACAGAACAGCATTCACCTGAATTCTCCACAATCAGTGTGGCTATTTTTCTTATTTGATGCAAAATTTATTAGGTCCTCTTGCTCTATATTTGCATGACATTACTTTTCTTTTCTTTTCTTTTTTTACTCCTTTTACTTATATCCAGGGTTTGAGTTCTGCTTGCTTTTCTACATGCACTTGGCACAACTACTAAGAGTAGCAAAAGGGACCAGAGGAGTTTCACTAGGTGGAAATCCAACTCCACCATCATCCTGACATGCCTGAGAAGCAGACAACAAGTGATTGTTTTCTCCGACTTTACCGTGGCTCTGTCACACTGGCTCACCTAGTTATGCCACAGAGGCCCACTGTATGCAATACAACATGCAGTTTCAAAATCAGACTTCAAATATTTTTCGCTCTCCACCATCACTTAAGCAAGGCATCCCAATACACCCTTCTGAGAACTTACTGATCCTCCTCTGGGATTTGACTAAGAGATTTGGTCAACACTGTAGAAAGCTGCTGTCTGTAGCTTTTCTTTGGTCTGTAGAAAGCTGCTGTTATAAGCTGGAATTCAGCACCAGAACCTTGAAAACAGACAAATGCACACAGCCAGGTGGGGCCGGGAGGACAGAGTGCCAACTGCGCACTCCAGGAAAGTCCATCACATTGCTTCAACTCTTTTTTTTTTTTTTTTCTTTTTTGGTACCGGGGATTGAACTCAGCTCCTTGCGCTTGCAAGGCAGGCCACTGAACCGCTGAGCTAAATCCCTGGCCCGTATCGCTTCAGCTCTTACACCTCCTGGGAGATGAAGAACGCAGGAATAGCCTTACACAAGCACATGTTTATACGATACTCTAAAACAACTCTGAATGTTAAGTACACTTTCACTGCCCTTTCACAGACAGGTGGAACATGATTTACAGAGGTTACAGGATGTTAAGAAAAGTCTGGGTTCACTCTGTGCATTAGCCTGTTCCTCTCACTGCATGACACTGTCGAGGGCTTCAATCTTCATTGAGCTCATTAGTACAAAAGCAGCAGTCTTGATACTAAAATACTACTATTGCCTGAAAACTTACAATTATTGTTAAAATAGCAAAAACTACACCTAATTATAGTCTTTACTTGTGAATTAACACTTTCTTTTCACTGCCTCTGTCCAATTTGTGTTAAAGCTGCTTTTCTCTTTATCTCAAAAATAAAATTAAAAGTCAGCATGACCAAAATCTTGTTCTCAAAGTTTTCTCTTATGTTTCCTAAATTTATGAATATCACCAAAATTTTCCTCAAATAAAAGCTTAGCAGTAATTTTTTCATTCTCCTTTTTCTATACATATTCAATCAAATTCCAAATCCCATCAACTCTCACTCAGTATTTCTCAGTACCCTACCTGTCTTTTCCAACATTTTTAGCCCTTAATTGTAGGAAATCTTTCACCTGCATCACAGCCTTCCCACATGGTCGTCTGTCTCCAAGCTGTCCGCCGGGCTTCATGCTCAATTCCATTGCCACACAGAGTCAAAATAACTCCTGCAAAACACAAGATGGTAAATAAATTCTTCCCACAGTTTCCCATTGCCGCCAAATTGAAGGCTAATTTTTCCCTCGTCAAGAGAGTTAGAACCCTTGATCTCTTCCTCAGCCTGACCTTTCATCGCTGTGTCTTGTGCCTCCTGCTGGGATTCTCCAGAACTACTTGCAGTTTTCCAGACACGTTAAACTTGCTCTTACCTCAGGGCCTCCGCACAGAGTGACTCAGTCCAGCTTCCCTGTCTTTCATTCGGCTTCAGGACTCTGTTTAGACACCATGTACCCTGGGAATTCCTCCCTGGCAGTGGGCTCTTCTGATATCCCATGGCACTCTAATTAGCATTTATTTAATTCTTTTGTCTTTTGTTTTGGTCTGTTTTTCCAAGAAGACTATAAACTCTTCAAGGCAGGAAACAATATGTAGCTAAATAAATGTGAAACACTACCACTGAGAACTGCAGTATGAAATTGCATTTGGCAAGACTCTTCTTCTAAGCTAGGTTTCAAAATAGGGTATACCTTTTCTGTGATCTAATAGTCTGAAAATGAAGGCCCTTATAAATTGTGCCTAACATAATTTTTTGTTATCAGATTGATGCTGAAATGAAAGATACCCTGCAGTCATAATGCATCAGTGTTTTCCTTGGTGAGTACACCTTTATATATGGCACCAAAGAATCCAACATTATACAGTGTATCTTAAAATCAAAGTGGGAAGGGGAATTCATTCAGATTGCTTATCTTATTTATTATCTGTTCAAATTTATTTTACAAGTGAGAATAGTAAGTGTCTAGTACAGGTAAGGAGCTTGTACGACTGCACACAGCCAATTTCTGACACACTTACGGGTCCCTCCGGATTTTGGTAGCTCCCCAGCCTGGTACTACATCCATCATAATGACATCATAGAGATCATTAAAGGGACCCTGGTGTCTTTTAGTATGAAAAAGTGTAAAGGCAGGGATCACCAAGTCCTAAAAATAACACAGCAGGGTGTTTGAGAGGAAAAGACATTCTGCTGCAACTGAAAGCAGCACGGTTGAAATAGGGCCACACTAGCTCCTTCAGACATTACACTTTCATTCATTCAACAATGAAGATATTAATTTATTTCCTGATGCAGATATTAAAAATATAAATAGTTTATTTAGACATAACTTCACACCTTTAACTCAAAGTGACCTTAACTCTCCACATTTCAACCAAAATATTTCTCTCCAGATCTGTGTAGATTCATTTTAAAGAAATACATCTGTGATTTTTAAAAGATGTAAACAATAGATTGGGTTTACCTTAGATCTTAGTTGAACTAGGCTTTCTACTGCTATCAAATTTTTGCTTTATTTATTTTGTTCTCTTACTACATTTTCCAAAGTCTGGAACCAAATGCCCTCTAATCCACTGACGAAGGAAACTAAATCATTTCACCATATTCTACTTTTCTGTCAGTTATTTGAATTATTTGAAGCAGTAAAAATAAAAACACTCAGAAACAGCCCAAGGTGAGTGAGTGGTCAAGGAAACACATTTCTGAATTCATCCAGTATGTATTAGACTCTCAGTCCAATTATTTATCTTTGTGAACTTGAATGTGTTATCTCTACTGTCTAAATTTCAGTTTCCTTCTATGTAAAGTGACAATGTTGATATCTACTTCAGTGCTGTCAAAATGATTGAAAAGATGTATATATGTCTAAAGATTAATAATAAATATTAGCAATAATACTGGCAAATTGTTGCCACTGATGTTTCAACTACTAATGCCAACTCCCAAATGCACCTCCTGGGACCAAGCTGTTAACACACAGCTTCTGGGGGTACCCAATATCCTGACTGCTGCAAAGGCCTCCTTATGCTATCAGTTACCTTTTTTTCTCTGGTAGTAATTCTTTTGATTCATAGTCATTATTTTCATCTGTATAAAATTTTTTTATCTTTTTCACTGTGTTAGTTTATATTTTTTCTCTAAATTTTTGAAAAATCCCTCAATTTTTGTATCACCCACTTATTTGGCCACCAAAATACATTTTGATAATCTGAATATTAGCTCCAAAATCATTCACAAATTTCTTCCATAGAGTTCAGCAAAATGCATTGGCTCTTTTTAGCTCAAGTTAACCTCAGTCTGCAATGATGAAGACCCACCAATAATCCATCATATCAGGAATAGTTACATGGTTTTGAGAAATATAGATTATACTCTCTTCACAAGTTTATAGGATTGGTGCACACGACATGCAGGAGTAATGATACAACCTAAACTTTTTATTAGGTTTCTAAAATGCAATCATCAGGCTTCTAAAACACAACCAGTTCCAGGGTTTCAGAGGGAATTTTGCAGCCCTAGATTCATTCACTTACGTGCAGCTCTACCTCAAAACAATATAATACCATTAATGGGCTGCTCTGAACCCAAGGTTTCATTTAATAACTAATTGATGAGTACTTTTTCTACCAGAAATTAATCTAGAAATTATCCAGTTTCTTCTATGATTTTTCTCTGACTGTAACAGATATAAGCTTGCTGGTTGCTGAAGAGGCATAATGCTTAGGATGAAGCTGTTCCTATACAGTTCAGCTAACTTTGGGTGTCCTTATATTTCTTAACAATTAAAACCTACCCCTCTCTAGTGAGATTTGAGCAGCTTCTAGAAAGCCAAGTCCTGTATCAATAGGTGTTGTGATTCCTAGCTAAACATTTAACTCATACCTTATAGTCAACAGTTACATGGTTCTTCACAAAGGTTATTACCAATTTGAGTTGTCATTTTGACAGTTTTGGGGCCCTGGTCAATTATTGTCTTCAAGCCTTCAACCTCCCAAATCGGTTAGTGGCCATATTTGAATGTCCCATGGAGAAAGAATTACTCTCTTGGTCTCTCAGAACCAAGTAATCTTTTCCCCTTCAGCTTTGGAAAAAAGTTTTTAGTGTCCCATAGATTGCCAAGGGATAAAGATAGAATCAAGCTGGGTGAAAAACATTTTAGATACCAGTGTTATGGCCAGCACAGAGATCTCATGCTAGGGGAGAAACAGATGGCAGGGTGGAAGAGGGACATGTTTTTGTCCCCCATCTCACCCTCATTCCAAGGTTAAACTTACTGGAGACAATGAAAAATGGAATTCTTCTCAGTGTGCAGACAAGACTCTATTAGGTTGTCTTGAAAGAGAGAAAACGTAATTACTATAATCCAAAGTAGAAGATAATTTGATCTGGGGTCCCACAATCCCACACCCTAGTGACCCAAAGATCTCCCATTACAACCCCACTCTCAGATTCTACCACCCCTCAATTATGCCAACCTATCAACCAAGATTTTAACACATGGGCTTTTTGTATGTTGAACTTCCATACTATCGAAGGGGCTTCATTTTGCTGTTCATTGCCATTTGTGTTCTGGCAATGATTATTTATTCTCATAAAGCAGAAAGCCAGACACACTGTTAGTTTACAGGAAAAAAAAAAACCTGTATATGCTGTATATGTGCCTTGTCATCACAAGAATGATGACTTCTTTTCCTTGAATATTGGAAATTGCTTACTTTCTTCTTCTGGATCCATAAAGTGGACCATCTGGATAGATGAATCATGCTAGCCAGGTTTACCTTTACCATAAACATAAAAACAGCATGACCTTGATGCCTTTTATAAGCTTTCTAACTTACCCATTCATCTGCACTGTTCTTGTAGACCTCAGACTGGAGCAACTGTGGAATGAGCTCTGACTGCCAAACCAAAGTATCCAGAGACCCTAGAATACTCCTGCTACATTGTCTTCATGATCACCATGATGATTTGCTAAGAGAATAAATTGAAGTATATTGCAAACAATAAATACAAGCGAGAATGATGGTCTTAAGAATGTCATACATCTTTCACAAAGATGAATGGGAGGCAGCCTGAACATCGCCAGCCCTGTTTGTTACCAGATATTTTCTTTTTCTCTAAAAGACAACATTAATCATCCACTATATAATTTCCAATACATTGAACTCCATTCACTGATTGCATCTCAGGCTTAGTGGGTGCCATTAAGGAAAAGCTAGCCAGCCTTCTACCACAAACTACCTGAGATAACTCCCCACTTAAAAGCAAAACAAAATGCCCTGAGATTCCCTTCTTGCTTCCAGTTGCAAGTTGCATGGCAAATACATGGTGTTCACTGTATGAAAACAAAGCCTTTGTGGCCTGAGTGAGGTTTTTTCTTTTGCTTGTTTTTGCCAGACTCATTATAAACACAATTTTTCAACTTACTTCAATTTACAATATATAAAATCTGTATGATTTTCTGTGTGCATTCTTTGCCCAGGAAAAATGAGAGTGCTCTATCTTTGGAAGAAAGATCCTATTTTCAGAATAAATATATCTCTTAAATCAATACAGGCCAAGGAAAACCTTCTAAATGCAAAGCTAATTGTACCAGAGAATTTGAATTCACCTCATGAAATGCAGAATTATATAGTACAGATGAAAGTATTTCTCGGAAAACGTAAGTGCAGTTGGCCAAAATCATCTGTCATTAGCAGTATCCTAAGTTCCATTAAGATGTATTTCATTGGCTGAAATTTGAAACAAGGTCAATTTCTCACCTTAACTAGAAAATAAAATGCACATTTCCTCACAGTTTCTATGGTAGCAGTTTCAGGCTTCCTTTCACAAGGATTCCAAAATGGGAAATAAATCTCAAATACAGAACCCCTTCAGATGCATGAAGTCACAAAGCAACAAAGTGCCCACTACATAATTAGACAGCATTTTTAGATACTGAAAAATGTCTGCAAAAATTGCCCTACAAAAGCTTAAAACAACTCTGAGAAGTAGATATCATTTACAAAATATGAGAAGACAGATTCCAAAACGGTGGATAGTTGGCTCAAAGTCATAGTGTTATCAAAGCACAGAGTAGGGTCTTTCCTTGAATTCCAGCATTTCATGGGAGATTAATGGGCATATTTTAACCAATTTAGTTTTGAAACATAATGCATAATTCTCATTTCAAGACTCAAAATTGACTGTATATAATTCATCATGCCCCAAATTCATTTAACCACCAACACCCTTTTGTTAGTAATTACCTAGAATAATTGCTCCATGAACTTAATTTGGAGAATTATGCTCTACTTTTGTTTGAGAGATTTGAAAATCACTCATGAATTACTGAAAACTAACCCAGTTTGATCAAGACTTTTACCCTTGATCAGGTAGAACTGGGTATTTCTGTCACTAGGTAGCCAATAAATTTTACAAGATTACCTGGAGAAATGTTTTCACAGATCCACTGAATATACAGTAATGTTTTGGTTCACCAATGCTTTTGTTTGAAAACATCTGGGTTCACAAATAGAAGCATTCAGCAAAAGTTTTCTTCTGCCCACAAATTGCACATCAAATGAGGAACACCACATTGACCATCTTCCTCACACAAACACAAATGCAGCCATCTTCCCCTTGAACCATGGAACAAATTAAGTTTGTGAACTGAGGTACTACTGCATTCTCCAAAAGAACACATTTCACCATTTTTTCTTAAATTAAGAATCATTGATCCAAATACTCTGTCATTTTAGTATGTTTATTTTAGATTATATATATTTAAATATATATATATATATATATGCCTTTATTTTCATTTCGTAGG